ACGAAGAATAAATAAGCAATAAGTACAATTACAAAGTCGACGTGTAACATCACGAGGAATCGATTTTTCCTAAGGTAGATTTTCTCCGGTAGAACGGTTTGTAAATATCGTACTCGTATCGTCTCGTCTATATTTCTTTCCTCCCTACATTTTTATTGCTTCTAAATATTCCATCGAGAAATATAGGTAATGCAGACAGATATTCGATAAAATCAAGTGAATTATTCGGGAAAACTTCAATTCCACTTGATTAAATGGTATGATTATTTATAGACTGATATACTTGGCGAGGTGAAATCAGAGAAATACGTTTACAAACTGTAAAAAAATACGATGGTTGACCGAGTTTTCAATTAATCTTCATTTATGAAGCTCTGAAACGCGAACGCTCGTTTTCTATTCGAAGAATTTCTATTTTCATATTTAAAAAAAAAAAAGAATTCACATTTTCAATTCACATTTAATATAATCGTAAAAAAATAGACGAATATTTTATTTTAGAATTATTCAATTATAAACGTATATGTATGTAGACTGCATGAAAAAGATATAAGTTATATTTTTGGTTTTTTTTACAAAAATTCGATATCTACGTTGTGAAATTGACAGTGTCAATCAATGCCATACCGTCAAAACTTTTTATCTTAATTCAAGATTAAATATTTATTTTTACCATTCACTTAAGTATGTTAAAAATATTGAATGACAGAATATCAATGACGATCTGCAAAAATTTAATCTATGAATCTATTATTTCTCCTTTCGACTATATATTAAACTTCTATTCACTCCAAGTAACCCTAAAGTCAAAAAAACCAACAAAAATAAAAATACAAATCTCATTTCTCCTGTTCGATCCTCTGACAACGACCATAAAAATCTACAATGAGATCAAAAATCTCAAAAAATAAATAATTTCCACCTCCACTTCCACGAGATAAAATAACACGTAACTTCTTCAAGTATATACGCAATCCTATATAAAACTTTTTCATAGAAATCGTATCGTTCAATTAGAAGATCAACTACACCCAACCTAATACATCCAATAACCAAGAAACCTCCAATTTACTTTAGACTCAACCCCCCCAGAAGAGGTCATTCTCGCCCGATAAATTCCTCCGCACGTTCCATCCCCTTTCCAACAACAATTTCCACGTTCAAATCTCACCAACTCGTCCAATCGAAACGCGACTTTTCACAATTTTTTCCACGCTTCGATCGTCGGCCCGCGAGCAGAAGGCCTTCCTTTTCGCCCCTACCCATCGAAATGGAACCGAATATAAAATTTCCCGTGACTCGACTCCGCCGCCATTGCATTTTTATCGGCCGCCTTCGATCGGCAGCCTCATAAGAGATTTTATCAGCGGCGCCGATGGAACTCTTTCTCGAGTGCATTTGCGAGCCGATGATTGCTTCTCGCGCCGGAGGGAGGGGGAGGGGATATCATGTTCGACTAGCAAGCAAGCAACCTTCCTCGTCCCAATCCTCTCCAAGATGAAAAGGGGTAAAAAAAATAAGCAAGGGTATGGAAAAAGGCGAGGGAAGGAGTTATATTCAGGAACTGAGAGAGGTTGTCCTTTTTTAGGGAAGGAGAAGAAGCAAGTAGGTGAGAGAGAGGATCGAAGGAGAAACGAGAGCAAAGGAGAGGGAGCGAAATGAGCGAAATTCGTTCGTTCGTGAGGGACACGTCTCGCCTTTTCTACTTGAAAATGCATAAATTCGCTTTTGTTTACAGGGAGATCGATCGATCGTTAATCCATTTTCCTCATTCCCTATTGTCCCTATTGAGAATTACGTAGCTCAAATACACGAACGGATTAATGCGTCTTTTCTATCTCGTATTGTTTTTCCACGATTTCCTTCACCACGTTTGAATTCGTCGAGTTACTCTCTTGTTAAGGATACATTGGCCGTTCGATAAGCCTTTTGTTCCCCTTTTTCATCCGAAATAACCGCCCTTTTTTCGCTTTCTAAATGGATTCTGTACAACTGGATTGTTTGAAATAGCGGGGGTTGAAACTGCAACGGGGGAAATTGTTTTTCCTTCCAAGTTCAGTGCTCGGTGAATTACGTACTTTGGTTCCTTGGAAGGATTGAATTTAATTATGATTTTGAATATCGTCCAAGAAATTTACCGATGTAAAAATGGGATGAAGAATCGAGGAAGGAATCGAGTTTAAATGTAATCCTTGTACGATAATAATGTACGAATTCAATGCCAATTTTAATCATTTAATTTTTTCTTTTATAAACAACGCAATCAATCAACCTTTTAAAGAACTTATAAATCCTACAATCTTTTATACTATTTTGAAATAATTATATAAATTGCAAAGATTTTTATTCCAAATAAAAAAAAAAAAAATTCATATATCGTACCGCGAAAAATTGACCAATTTTCGAATTATCTAATAATACTCGAACACGATTAAAAAAAATCTTCTACCCCAACATTGGATTCAATAAATTCTTCATCGAATAAAGGAAATTGTAACTAAAATCCTGCCAATATTCATATCTCCATATCTTCTTGAATCAGAAATTCAAATAAATCTATAACGACGGGAAAGGAATTTATACTCGTCGATGAATTGCATCGCAATACAAAGATATTTCGTCGAAATATTCACAATTATCGTTCAAGGGGAATATTTCTAGGTTAAGGGAAACTTGTCGTATTCGTTAAACAGCTTAGTACGCATCCGTGATGTCTAAAGGGCAGTAACTGACCGTGATATTAATTGCTTTCTGGCTATTAGCAAATGGGTCCACGGAGATCTCGCAAAGGGAACAACCATCCCCTGTGTGACCGTTTGCCATTAACATTAGCGCAACGTGCCATGTTATCTGGCACGTTACCATTGCAACGCGTGCACGCGCTTAAATCGCGCGCAACCGGAACCGAAAAATGCAACATTGTTTGAGAAATGCGTGACGAATACGATGTGTGTGTGTTGGAGATATAGCGTATAAAAGAAAGTTAAATCTAACTCGCGATACATTTCTCAGACTTGAGGGTTAATTCTGACTCTTAGCTAACTCTCTTGTGGGTTAATTCGTCTGAAGCTACTATAGAATTTGTGAATATGGTATCGTATTGTTAATCTACTTTTGAGGAATAATTGTCATCCGTTGTTTGAACGTTGTTTGGGGATAATTCTATACTACTTAAGATATGGATCTTAATATTCGATAACAAGATATTACGTGTATCATAAACGTATCATAAATGTATCAAAAATCATTGATTATGAGAATCAATGAGAAACAACTATGAACACGAATATAATGATTTTTATTTCATTCGCATCTGTACAAAAAAATTAATCCAGAATATTCGTTGAATTGATATCGTATAAATAACGAATGAAAACGTCGCAGAAACGAGCCCGTATTGAAAATGTTTCGGTTCGGATTGTAAATGTTTCGAAATGGTAAATGTTTCGAAATGGTAAATGTTTCGAAATGGTAAATGTTACGTATGACAAATGCTTTTTCTGTCGCAACTACATATTTGCAGCCCACGAAAGTGGGATTTGCGTATTCAAAATAGTTTTCGAAAATTTGCTAATGCATTCGTAGTAGATTTTGTCAATATGGATTCATTTGCCAACCGACAAAACCCGGTATGCAAATATACAAACGTTAATTAAGTTTCGACTCGGCGGTGTATGTACGAAGGATATGCGTATACGCATTATAAAAATGTTACCCGAATGGATAAAGCTAACGTTGACAAATGGTAAGGGGGTGGACAGAGGATGTAATTCGGGCGAGCATCGTTGAAATTTTCATCGCGTCGATAAAAACACACTCGATGAAATGGAAATAAATTTTCGAGTGTAATACAAATGTATTCAATGTATTGGAACGTTTACCGGGAAAATTTACAATAATAATTAACAGCACGGAAATTCACTAAACGTGAACATTACATACGTATGCATAAACACAACATTTCATCAAATTTTATTTTTCGCTTCGATTAACGCGTACTATCTGTTCTTCTATTACTGAATTGCCATTTGACAAAGGTAATCGACTATTGATGAACGTTAATCCCTTTTGACCTAATTTTTTATCCTATTTAATTTTTATTTTACATTCTATTAAAAATTTACGATACTGTATCGATGTAATATGTAGAGAAAATTTGAAACTTGTAAAGATACTGATTTGAAAAAATTACTAGTCATTATTTTTAAAATAATTTTCAATTTAAATTCCAAAATGTAGAATGGAACATATGAAATTTAAAATTTTACACGACAAAAATTAAAAGTTAAAATCTAACTTTTATTTATAAATTTGTTCAATTATGATTGTAAATGTTTCGATTGTAAAAAACGAGACGTTTATTGCGTTATAAATGCATTTGTTGTCTAAATAAAAATTATCTGGCATGTTATATGTAATATATGTTATATATTGTTATAATTATTAAAAAGAGATAAGAATATATTAAGATAAGAATATAGTCATATATTAATTAAAATTAAAACTAAATAAAATAATACATATACGAAACATATATAATCTTATAAGAATTAAAAATATTCATAAAAACGTACATACGTATCTACTTTTCTCTCTCTCTTTATCTGATTTATAATTTAAAATTAATTAAATAGTTACAAATAAAAAATTTTTAAAATAAAACGTTTTTAAAAAATTTGATAATTACGAACGCCAACTTTAGATGTCACTTTTTCCCGCGCTATTATACTTGACAATACATAACCATAAAATAATAAAAAGTAAAATCGTTTTTGATTCGTTTACGTGTTATTTGATAATTAAATCATCAACACGTTAAAAGTAAACAAATATACTTTTGAATGATAAATATATATTCTACTAAGAACGAAAAAATGAAACATAAATCGATGCAATGGGAATGCATACATTCCCTCCAAATTGATCGAATACATCTCTAAAGATGTCGGCGGTCGGCATCGACTTTAATATGATTGATAAATATGATTGATTACACTTACCTTGAAAAGCAGCCTCGAATGTGGTCTTCTCCTCGATAGGATTCTGAGCAAACACCAAGACAATCGCCAGATGAACAAAGATCACAAAAAACCGATAAACACGAAGTTCAGCCATCGTCCTGCGATGTACATGCACGCGTTCGCCCCGACTGAGTTCACTTTCGCATTTCTCGCAAATCGAACTTCTCGATCGACTATCGATTATCGCGAGTTCACCGTCGCGTAGAAAGCACACTGATATCGCGTTTCGATCGATCAGCGACACTTCTCGATTTGAATCGATTCTATAAATAGAAAAAACGCGTATGAAGATCACTGTATAATAACACTAGGTAGCGCGGAACACTTTTTTTTTTTTTCTTTCTTTTTCTTTTGTATGGACAATGCGAAGGCACTCGGTCAAGTGTCTCGAAACACGAACGTATACAACCGAAACATTCTGAGAGAACTACGAGGTCGTGTCAAGAAGACATATATCGTATCGAGTATATGGCAATAATAACACGGCTACGGCGTAAAAAGTGGACAATTGTCTGCCTTCCACTTTCAGCTTGTGTATACACCGAAGCATGCCGGGCCAGCTACTCGTGAATGTACACTAATACATAGCACAGTCGCGTACTTTTAACCTATGTCCTTTCGTACCGTGTGTCCTCTATTGGTAGAGAACTCTTTTCATGTCACTGCTAGTTTAACATTCAATTGTGCGTATAATGAGATCTCTTACCTATATTTGTCGTACTTGTACTTGTTACGTCGGCAAATGATCGGTCTTTATTTTCCCGAATGATATCCGATGCAAATTCACTACGTATGCATATCGATATTAATCGATATTGCATCGATATTGATCGATATGCATATTTTATAACGTTCAAAGAGAAATACTTTTTTGTGAAAAAAGAAGAAGAAAAAATTGAAACATGAAAGAAATAATGAAATTTTAATACAATTTTGAACTAAAATTAGATAAAAATGTTGGTATTATTAAAGTTGTAAATATATATATAATTTTAAATAAATCGAGAAATATCGAGAATAATATCAAGAATAATATCGAGAATAAAGAAAAAATAACCGATGGAAAATATATTTAAATAATTAACTATTGTTTATTTACATCAGTCATAACAATTTTTATAATAACGTATTTTGAAAGATATTAAAAGCATATTAAAAGCAGAAAGTTTAAATAGCAGGCCCGGTGAAGATCATAGCAAACGCAGCTTTCCTCGAAAGAAAACTGATAACTATCTTATTTCGACGCAATTCTTCTTGACACTACCAGATGATTTAAGCTCAAACATAAACTATCAAGTATGTCGAACAGATTCTAAACTCTCTACCTTCCTTAATCTTCATATAGTTCAATGACCACAATTGAACTGCTTGAAACCATAGTTATGTCACACGAATCGGAACTACGCAATACGATCGACAACGCCACGGCACGAACGTTTGAAATCACAGAAAGTAATAACTGTATATACACCACTTTTCGCGATATATTTACGATTATTTGATTAATTTAATATATTAAAAGAAAAACTCAATGAGATAGCTTATTAAAGACACTCGTAAAAGAAATATTTCACCGCGATAGAAAAGGAAGGTAGAGAAGAATGATAAGAAAAGAACACGGAAAAGTAACGATCGGAAACATTCATTTAGACGTTGTACCTATCAAGAATGATCTCACGATCGTTGTTCAAGACAAAAGAAAGAAAGATATGATTACTAAAGAGACTTTAACACACGCGCGAACACGAAAGTGAAGGGAGCTCCACAACAGCCGTCGATGCCGGCCGGTGTCTCCAATCGAACTGCGGGGATTAGTCGACGGTGGCGCCGCCGAGGGACGCCGAGCTTGGCCGTGTGGCATGCGTCATAACGCCACCGCCTTCGATCGGCCGCCATTTTTTTTTTGAAGTGCGTTACTAACCCCTTGAAAACATTTCACCTCAAACGATCGGAACTCAGAACCGTAAACTTTTCGAGAATAGAAAAAAATCAGTTATATAATATATAATTTTTTATATATGTAATTGAAAAAAAAAACTTTATAAACATATTATTCATGTATCATTGTATGTAAAATTTTATAGGAAATATATATATATATACAAAGATTTATCGTTGACATCGAAATTTATATACATATCAAGCTTAATAGTAAAATGTAAAGAATGTTAAAATTTACCATAAAAGATTTTTCTTTACAATATATATATTTTCAATTTGAAAGAAGTAGAAAGATTTAAAGATAATGATAAGGTTTTCAATGTAAATGAAATACATAATATGCTTGACTTATAACTTTTACTTATCATTAATTTAAATTCAGTTTAAACCGATTAACAACAATCTCTTGCAGTTAATCGAATTTAACCACTATCTTATATTCTATAGGACTTTAACGATAAACGGATAATCTTTGCTGTAGAAAACTTAAACGATGAAAATCTAAAACGAATAAAACGAAATAAAATTATAGGTGATACAATAGGATTGAAAAATATTACACATTGAGAAAAATAATAAGAATATTTTTATTTTTTTTCTTAAATTTTTTTTTGTAATCATTAAATATAAATCAAATTTTGAATTAAATTTATCAAAGTTATATTATTTTTTATATAACACGCGATTCTATATATATTCTTATTCATTAACAATTAATAACATACGAAAAACACTGTTATATTGGTTAATTAAGCGCAATTCCATAATACTTTCACAAACTTTTGTCTGTATATTATGTATAGAACAACACTTATCGTAGTACAAAATAAATCTAGATATGTGTAAAAATCGAAAGTATGCTAATACTGTAAACGCTATATTATAAATATAGATACTCTATGTATTATTCTATCGAAGAAAAACTTAAATATAAAAGCACCTTGCAAATAACATTCTTAAAGAACTTCTAAGTATATATTGCGAACACAATATTATTGAACTATTCTTTTCTTTTCAAAAAAAAAAATTAAATATATTATAATAATAATTATAATAATAATATAATTTTTTATATTTTACATATAAACCATACTTTTATTTTGGACGGACATTTGTACGAATAATTTGCACGAACGTTTATTCAATTGTCAAAAGTCAGTCTACTAAGTAAGAGAAAATAGAAATTAGAAGTTAGAATGAAGATCTTTGAGTTGATGAAAGAAATTGATATATATATTCATTATACTTTCGTAACAAGATAATATTAATGTGCATTCCTACTGTTTTAATATGTTTTTTTCTTATTCAATATATCAAATAATATATACCTATATATTACTATATATTCACGCTTTGAAGTTGTCCCTGTAAACAATAATTAACTATCTCTCGACTCAATATTTTATTATATTTATTTACGTATAAATAATCACTCACGCGGAATAAACAATACGCAAAATAATGAACTTCCTAATATTTCTGACATAACAATTGAATTGCATGATGGCAATTCAAATCTCATATTTAATTTATCGTTAAATATCAGCTTAATAATTTTTTATGGTTTTCGTGAAAGTAGTCCATGATTCTTCTATTGGCGCCAATACCGTGATTACAATGAGAGCCGCAGCGAATAGGATGATTACGACAAAATATATGCCGAAGATAAATTTCCTGATCCCAGCATGCTATTGAACAGAATGAGAAATGAATCCGCTGAAGATTTTTAGAGATTCCCGGCGCATCATGCCGATTCTTATTAGTAAGAAACTTACAGGAGCATCCTGCCTTGCATCTGGATGGACCATTGAACCACGAGAGTGCATATCTTTCATCGGAAATGAATTCACCCTTTGACTTGCTTGTCTGTCAGAGGCACATCCAACGAACTAAAAAACATATTGATTTTACTCATTAATAATGCTTTAAATAATCAATTTAATATAGAAACTAATCTACAATTAGAATATTGAATGTCTCATATTCACTCTTGTATAATTAAGAAGATTTTCAATAGTAATAATCAAACATAAAGTATATTAAATATATGGATTACATATGAGATCAAAGAGAAGTTAGACTGATTTCTCTAAAATAATAATCAGTCATGAATTAATATGAAATTTAATCTCTTTAGAAATAGATTGAATGTTTAAAGCAATGAATTACTGTGTGTTTATTAGAGTAAGAATATTATATGATAATTATAATTCAAATGATGTATAAAAAAAAAATGATGCAATATTTTGAAAAATTCAAAAAGATTAATAGAATGACTAATAACAAAAATTATTTTGTATTTTTTTTTGTATTATTTTGTATTAAGAATAATATAATTGATCTCAAATCGATCTTGACATACATATTCATTCGTTCGTAAAACTCTGATGACCTTCTCAATCTTTTTCAATCATTTTACTACATTTTTTTAAGTAGATATTCAAGAGATACTCATTTATAGATTAAAAAAAGTCATATTTTATAGATAAAATATATCTACCAAGTTCATATATATCAAATAAATGTAATAAATCTAAAGCAATTTTACTTTAGAGATATCAAATATCATTCTTACCGTCAAAATGAGGTGAGTCAGAATATGGAATACTACGTAGGCGGCCAGAATCCAGTCTATCCATTCCGGGAGTTTGGCCTTATTCACTCGAACCGCGAAGAACATTGCAATTACTGTGAAAGGAATTTCAATGCGTTGATTAATCCATTGTTAATAGAAATAATGAAAAAAAAACGAAACGTGCACAGTATTCAAAAATTAGAAAAACTTACTGCTACAAATATGCGCCGCATTCCCAACAAACCAATGCACCCAATTGAAAAGAGATCTTCGTGGCGCTCCTGGATGAGGTCTTGCAGCTGCCATAAATGGTTGAATAAAAACTAAAATCGTGGTGGCTAGTCCCAAAGACGCGTGTATCGTTTCGGAACTCCATTCACCCAATTCAACGAATATTATTACAAAGGCAGCAATAGTCATCGACCACGTCAATATCATGAAAAATCTATGCCACTTGAGTAGACAAAAAAAGAACAAAATATTTTGCTTATAATTAATATTTAGTAAGTATCATATTAAATTAAAAATTGTAGATAATAACGATGATATTATCATATTTATACGAATACTAGAGCTTGATACTAAATAATCTTCTAAAGTTAATAAGTATCCTTCAACCATCTAAGATATGTTCAATATTATCTTTGGATATTAGCCAAAGTTAAGTGTTCTTCTGAAACGTTTACATTCTCGAGTTCAACAACGTTAAATATAACAGCTACTATATAACACTTTAAAAAATATAACGTGCACTGCATAGTAAAAGCCATATTAATATAAATATCCATTAAATTAAAAATATCCAATCATCGCATAAAATCGATACGCTTAACGAATTTCCAGGAATCACGATGGCAATTTAATTCTTGTCATTTCATTATTATGAACAAAATATTACGAACATATTTATTATCCAGACTGTACATCATAAAGCAAACAATTCTCACGACAATCGGTACAATTTCACCCGGTGTCTCCCAATTAAAATCTGATTATATAAAATGATTAATGCACTCGATTTAAATTACAATCACGCGACCATGCATCGATTGTTAATTTTCAGAAAGAGCAACTCTGTGACATTATCAAATTGCCCTTCTATTCGTGGTTCCTCCGATTAACCTCGATCGAACTCGTGAACCCACAGACAGGCGCATCGACCCACCAAATAGGTGCCATCACACACAACCCCTGAGGTCGTTAGTTTCACTGGATCGAGATCTTACCGGCAGCTTGTGTTTCGTGCACGCGATTACGGGAAAAATTGGATACTTACAGCGAACCAATGATCCTTTCCACACAACTGCGAGCTGACCCATGTCTGCCTGTAGTATCTAGCAAGAAGCATACCGATGGACGCTGTACCGATCCAAGACGCTAACATTAGAGCACCGTGAACACGAATCAAGATGTTACTCGCCGTAGTAAAATCACCAACGTCGGATAATAATTTTGCGCCACCCGTAGCGTCGCGTGCCGTATCGTGATATCCGATACCATTAGCTAGTATTTTTTTTAAACGTTATTTTCTTTTATCGTGTACTTGTATACATTTTTAAACGAAATTGAAACGTTACATACTTTTTAAACTTTTACCAGAAGCCACAAGAAGATTGTATGGTGTATTGACGAGATCATATTCGCGGCCTTGAACGACAGTCATCTTCTCTCTCCAAAATTTGCACGAGATTACGTCATCTTTGATCGAACTTGCCTCTAATCCAACGGCTCCTTCCTGCTGCAAATGAAATCATAAATAGAGCAAGGTCACGATGGATTTCTCGTAAACCGCAGATCAACATAATCAAGAAATGATCGGTAATAATGATATTACGCACAAGCGAAAGTCGGCCACTACCACGAGGTTCAATGAATCAAGATTGTATTAATTTCATCTGCTCGCATAATATTGACCTCGATATTAATAGACGAATAGAAATCTCTTCTTTCGTTAATTTTGGTCTTTAAAAATTTTTTCAATGTCAAATAAGTATAAAATTAATATAAAATTTATTTTTTAAAAAATTTTAAATAATATAATTACTATAATTACAGAATAAAATTCATTTCTGTTCTTGGTCATTATTATGCGACATTTGGTATTCAGCACCATAAATATGATAAATAGTGGAATACGCACCATAGGCTGACGTATATTCGATTTTCCAGAGTTCCAAGACATATATAATCCAATTTCTCCTTCTTCGTTCACACATTCAACCACACTGTCATCACCCTGCGCAGTATATAAAAGATTGAATAATCATT